GGGCGCACGCGATGGCTGTTCGAGTCGTTTCGGCTTTACCGCTGTGGTAAAGCCCGGGCAGGCCAGGCTGGGGGGAACCTCTCACAGCTCCTTGCCTCGTGAAGTGCCTCACCGCGGGCTCGGCGCCGCGGTCGGAGGGCGCGTTAGAGCGTGGCTGGAGTAGGTAGCCAGCGCTGCAAGAGAGAGGTTAAGAACTACTGTAAATTATTAAAAGCTACCGGGGACGAGTGCCGGCGACGTGAAAGGGGGCTTGGGTCTGTGTGCGTGCCCGCAGGTGCTGAGGTGGAGAGCCGCCGGCTCCTCCTGCTTTTAGGGAAACATTAACTTTCAGAGCTGTGCTGTCGTTTGGAGAGAACGTAGGAAGTATAGCGTTGAAAACAACGCTAAATAGGCGAAAAAGAGAATGCAAATTCCCATTTTTACGGTTGATGCGTTTACAAGCCGGTCGTTTTCAGGAAATCCTGCGGCAGTTTGTCTGCTTGAAAATGTAAGTTTAAAAAATTACTTTATGAGAGCGACTCAAACGGCATTTACCTTTCTGTATTTGAAGTGTGTCCGAGCACTAAGGACTGAACTTTGCTTCCTTTGCTCTCAGGACTCCGCTTGCAAGCATTGTTTGCTGTTGCTCCGGAGTACTTCTGCAGGGGAATTAGTACTGGAGTACGTTTTTCAGTCAAAATGGTTTCGTACAAGACACGTTTTCTGTGTGGTTTTTCAATAGGCTATTTTTAACCTAAATGAGTTAAGCCAAAAAGAAACGTTGAGAATTCAAAATGAAATGTCTGAAAGGAAATGCTATAACGTTAGAGGCAGTACTTGATAGTGGGTTCCTCTGAATTGTTTAGGGTTCTTCCCCCCCCCTCCTTTTTTTTTTTCCTTCACAGGAGGAAGGAGAGAGACTGTAGACCTGCATCTCAGTCTTTCACCTTTAACGTATCTGGTTCGGCTTCAGCCAGGTTTAGACAAACAAGTCTTTATCACTTGAAAGCTGCATGATAGTTTGAGTGCAGTTGATAATAGTTGATGTTTTTGTTTTAATTGGTACGCTATTGACAACTTCAACCAAAAGCTATTTGTTAAACCGGATTAGAGAATTTATTAACCTTCTATTATTTGCGTAGTATCACTTGATGAAAATTATAAGAATGAAAATATAAGTACAGCAGTCAGTGGTAGCTTGTATTGACTATTAATCCTATCTAAATGTTCTCTCATCGAATACAACATGCTTGCTAGCTCATTTTGTAGTTAAGATTGAGAGCGTATCACTTTAGAGGTATGTTTTGCCCTCTAAAATCTAAATGATCCGTCTCAAAATGAAGTTCCTGTAAAATTATGAACTTCTAATTACGTTTTATATATTAAATTAACTTTATTACATTAATATATATTTACTGTGAGGCTGTGCATGCTGCCTTTGGAGTATTTAGGTTTTGCATTTCAAAGTTTTCTCCATAGTGCTTAAGGTTAGAGGCTTCAGATTCATATAAAAGCTGATATTCAAATAAATTATTTTATTCTAAGCTCTAAGAAACTAGGGTGCAGCTGACAACAACATTTCTCTTCCCAGTTCCCTGCAAAGTCTCAGGAGATGCTTTAGAAAAATTGTTGGAAACAGTGCAAGAAAGACAAACCTTTTCTGCATTTCAGAAGTGCCACAGGATGGCAGTATTTCAGTACGATTCTGATATTTTTAATATGACCTTTGTTTTGGATTGGTGCCTTTGGAGGCTACTCCAAAGGCTATGAAAGGCTAGGATGTTGTGTCATGGTACAGAATCCACTGTACGAGTAGACTTCTATTATACCAATCAGTAATTGTTTCGTATCTGCTGTTCGGGATCATTGTTTGAAACTGATTAAAGTTAGTGAGGGAAATAAGGGGAAAAATAACTGGGGAAATTTTAATCTATCAGACATTGCACCTGACCAGCTTACCTTACTACTTTGTTTCATTTGTGTCTTAATACTTCAGATAACTCGAGTTTGGCCAGTCAGTCGTCAGCATAATTGTTTGGAGAACAGTGGAACAAGGGTGAAATTTTTTGCAATTGCTGCAACTCGTGTGTCTTGGGATCAATATTCGCTGGCTTATATCAGCAGGTAGTTAGAGCAGAATGTAGTGAGCTCCAGCACTCCTGTTTTTTAGGTTTATCTTCTCCCAACTTGCGCTCGTTTATCATCGTACTCTCATCTTTCAAACAGTAGCATTGAAGGTACACCAGTAAGCACTGGTCCGTCATCTTAGCCATTTTATTAACCTGCATACTGCTGGCTGGCAACGAGGATCTGGATGGATTTTTCAGTTACCAAAAGTGGTTTTTAATTTGAGTTGATGTTGATAATGGTGCACCAGTGTGACTTTCATCATAACTTTGAGAAAGATTTGTGTTCATGGACAAACTGAGTTTAGAATAGTATTTTGTTGTGACTTTATTTGCCGTATGTTCCAAGAATTTGTAAGCTAATGGGACAGATAGTTAGGAATGCTGGTGTACCACCATAATGGAAGTAGTTATCCCATTTCATGCTTAAAGATTTGGTTTTATTCTCAGAAATTTTTTTGAACTAAAAATAAAATTATGCTTTATTATAATGGAAAATAAAATGACTGTACATATTTGATTAAAAAGTTTGATTCTGCTTCTTAGGGCGTGATTTTCATTGGGTTTATTGTTTCAATTTTAGGACTTGAATGAAGATTTGCACCAAAAAATTGCAACAGAAATGAACCTCTCAGAAACTGCCTTCATCAGAAAGCTGCACTCCGTCGATGACTTTACCAAAAGTGAGTCATTCCGTTTACCCAGCAAAATCTCTGACAAAAAAGTAGGAAGACACTATGGGTGCTGTTTTTAAGGAGTGGTACTAATTTATAAGACCAAAAAAAAGAGGCAAAATCTTGGCGTTGTCGTGCATCTTGCACATATTTTCATAAAAAATTTTTTTGTTGCATATCAAATAAATTTTACAATATGTAAAAACTTATTATTCATAAAGTAGGCAACATATTTTAGTACATTTTACTAAATGAACAAGTTACATATAGAAAACATATACTTAAACTGCTATGCAAAGGTGCTTCAGTTAATGCTTCCATTATAAGTAACACTTTCTGGAGATAATTCCTTATTATATAAGGAGAAGAATAGAGATGAAAGAGCTTATCTTTTATGCACAACACCACAAAGTGAATAGAATCTGTTCAGGAAATCATTCATTTTTCTTTAGTGTAACAGAAACTTCCAGTTCCGTAACGATGCTGTTATATCACCCTTGTACATTATAATATTGTAAGTTGGGTTATGTTTCACTGAAATTGCGATAACTGTAATGTATTATTTGAGGTGGGTTGTCACAAACTCTCATGAGCTGTCTGTGGAGCCAGTACTGGAAAAAAGCAGGTTTCCAACAAAATGGGATGTTTGAAGTTGCCCAAACCAAACGTGTTAGGCTGCTCAAACATTTGAATAGTGTGCGTGACAGAGGGCTTTCACTGATGGTCTTTGATATAGTATATGTGAGGGAGGATGAAAGAGGAGACATTGAAGAAGATGGAAAACATCAGATAAACATTGAGTCAAATCAGAATTGCTTTGTGTATTAGTTTTCAGCTACATCGGTTTGCTGAATCTGCTCACTTTGCAGCTATGTGAATGGTACTGGTGGCATAAGCAAGAGACTGGAGCCCCGCTAGCGTGCAGTTAGATTCCACGTTAAGGTACCATTTTGCCATACCCTTATTTTTGATATGACGTGGTGGAAGAGACAGATAAACAGAGCTTTGGGGTTATAGATGGTCTGAAAGGGGCCATAAAACAAACAAGCGAAGAAACTGTTCCTTGTCTAATTTGATTGCCCTTTTGTTGAGGGAGCAGGATTTTGTACAGTCTTCATAATTAAAGAGGGTTGTCTTGAAACAGTAACTGTGGTAACTTACTCCTATTGTTAACAACTTGGAATTGTGTTTCAGGATTAAACTAACTGCTTGAGTCAAGCAGTTAAGTATTTTTCATGGCAACACCTTGCCAATACATTTAATAGGCTTATTTATTTTCAAGTCTTCCATATCCAACAGCATATAAAATGCCAGCCCCTAGCTCGTTAAAGTGCTTTTGATATTAACGGGATTAATGTTTGTGAGGTCAGACCTACGCAGTTGCAGAATAGGGGCAGAAGTTTTTTTAAATGAGCTCAGTCACTGAGCTATACCTAAGAATGTGTGAGGTGTGGCAGAAGTGAGAGGAGCGTGAGCGCAGAGCGCTAGAATGTTGCTTATGAGGCCATCATCTGCTTCTGGAGCATAGAATGATTTAGTAAGGATTCCTGTACAAACAGTATGTTTCTGCAGGAGTAGGAGTTTGCGATCAGTGCATTTAATTTAACGTTCATTAATGAAAATCTGCAATGTTTTAGGGAGACATTAATTTATGAGAGGAAGAAATGTTTTCTCAGTCTGAGTACAGCTGTCTCTCTAAATCATCCAGCCAGGTGTCCTGGATCCCAGTCTGCTTGTCTGTCTCCAGTTTGTCATGGCTGACTCCATTTCCTCCTGCTTTCAGCCATGATTTCTGCTTGGGGGAGTACATTAACACCACAGCAGGGTTGGCTCACAGCTGGCTTCCACGTCTGCCCTGTTTCAGATTGCTTCTCTGTGATTTTCATCAGTTTCAACTACTAGGTTTTGTGGTGATTCTATTTGTTTTCATTACATAGGGGACTGTGACTTTAATGCGCTAATGTTTCACAGTGACAAAGACAAAACATGGTTATATGAAAACTCTTTCCTTCCTTTTGCACCTTTTAGTCATATTTGTATGGTAATTATTCATTTGAAATATATTTTCATGAGCCCCGTCTTAAATGCCATAGTGTAAGAACTCTGCAGAGTTTACAGGAAACCAAAGATAGTGCACTTGGCTCCAGTTTTTTTTTAACAACAAACAAAGGTATGCTTTTTAGTGAAATTAAGGGTAAATATACATTAGAGGCTTCTACCAGTGGTGGCAGGTGATTTAAGCAAAATAATTCTTCACTGGCATAGCTCTCATAGAGATTCAGTTATACTAGCCAAGCTGTCTTCACTGGCGTATCTCGTTTTACTTACGGGAGAGAACATGGTTGTACTGTAGCAATTAAAAAAGGCATTGTTTTGCTCGTAGACAGCTCCTTTGCTCTTGTAGCAAAGTAGCTACAATATTAGTGATATACTGGCTCAAAGAAGAGACCTGACTCAAAAGCAATAGCTATTCAAAAAGATCAGTACAGAATAGATTCCTGAAAATGTGTTTATGCCCGAGACCGATTCTAACATGCGTTTTGATGGGCTGAAATGTCATCACTTTGTATAATGTCATCACTTTGTATAAAGTTTTGAAATAAACTGAAGAAAAAGACTCTTTCAAATAATAAAATTTCTTTTTAAGGTTCCTGCTTTGGACTGAGATGGTTTACTCCAACCAATGAAGTTCCTCTCTGTGGTCATGCTACACTTGCAGCAGCTGCTGTGTTGTTTCACATACAAAGTAATGTATTTTTACAAGCTATTTGTTGTTATAACTTCTATAAAATGTCTTTCTAACTAAGAAAATCTCCCTTTATTATTTCCTACAACACGCACAATTCAATCTTTAGTACATGTAGGGAATAGTAGCGAAGATACCTTAGATACTGTCTTTTATAACTGCTCTGTAATCACAAGATTGGGTTCTGATGTTAATGCTCAAATTCCCATGCCCTCCACTATCACTCTTTTTAAAGAAAAGTGCTAAGTATGCAAATGTCATCGGGGAGAGATGCAGTAGAATTTGATAAGTAGGGAATATTGATCCTTCTGTTAAAAACTCCTATACGTTCTGGGTATATGCAGGAAACGTTCTCTGGCAATTGCTGTGTTTGTTAGCCTTAGCAGCTTATTTATTGAGTTAGCTGGGAATTTCATCTGAGAATACAGTTGTGCTGTAGTTACTATATTTTAGCTGCATAACTTTGTGAATATAGTGGGCTACTCTAGGAGCTATAATAATTTAGATTCAAATCCTTAGGTTAAATATACAGTGAATGTTGCAATGCTGTCTCTCCAGAAAACAAAAATGCAGTTCTCACTTTTGTGACTCTGAGTGGTGAATTAAAAGCTAGACAAGCGGAAGATCATATTGTCCTGGACTTACCGCTTTACTTAACCTACCCGCAGGTCAGTGAAAATTTTATTCATAGAAAGCTTTCAAGGAAAATAGTTGTGTATATGTATACCCCTGTATATATTTATATGTGCTTTTTTTCTCCCCCCCGCTAGGTATTTCAGGAAGTAGGAGAACTAATAAAGGTAAAAATAGAATCTGCGTGTGATGTTCAAAGCACGTTACTATACTTAGTTTTGTATACTGAAGAGTGACAACATCACGCTGCTTGATGCAGTCCTATAGATTATGAGGTCTGACTACTGCAGTTTGGAAAATGGAGTTCTCCAAAATGCTGCAGCTGTCTCTCACTGCTACTGACTGGAATGTCAGTATTTCAGGGACATTTTTCAGCATATTTTAGGCATGTGGGTCAAGTCTTGTGTCCTTGCCCTTGCCTCAGTCCCTGAATTTCCTTCCAAGTGGCTGTATACAGAGCTGTTATGCATACCCATATTCATGCTACATGCACTTAGTACATTTGCTTTTCTTGCTTGCGTGAACTTGAGGGCTGAATATAAGCCCCTTTCTAGCAGAGGAATTTGTTCTAATAAAAATGTTAAGGATATAATATTTTATATTCGGGTGACTTTATTTTTCTTTGTTTCCTTTAACTTTTTTACCAGGCAGCCATAGGAGACATGATTGTTCAAGATCTCCGTTATTCTCCTGACACAAAGAAACTCCTGGTCCGTCTCAGTGATACTTACGAAAGGTGTTTAATACTTTTTTTTTTTTTTGAATCAAGCATGTGGAAATTGCATCTTCTTGTTTAACTACTATTCCTGACATAGTAGGTTCTTTTATCTATTTTTAGAACAGATGGAGATTAAAAATTCTTTAAACCCTCATGTTAAATAGTTACACAATCTTCCTATATGAGCTTATTGAAATTGACAAGCTAAACAAGATCAATCTAAAACCCACCTCCAAAAAAGGAGGTATAGGAAACAGCTTTAACAAGAGTCTATTTTTCCCATCCCTCTGAGTCAGAAATGATCCAGTAACTTCCTAGCAGGAAGTTAGGAGCCCTGCTTCTTCAAAAAAAGTAAGAACAGTTTCACAGCTATAGAGTTCCACTCACAGGGACAGGGCACACTGGCAGGATGGCATGTATTCGTTTTCCCATTTGACCGTAATCTGCTTACACATACTTTACAGTATCATGAGTAGCTTTGTAGAGGAAATTCTGTTTCAGATGATTCCAAAGCATGTTTTAATCTGAGAGATGCATTTTATTGGTGAGTGAAATGTGATTGGAACATATATTGTCCAAACCTGAACTCTTTAATCAGGCCAAATTACTATTAATTTTACTGGAAGCTTGACTTAATTAATGGTTTAAAGATTGAGCTAGTGGGAGATGGAAATACTCCTAGCCGAGTACTCAGTATTTTTACCTCTTTCAGACTTCCTATCATAGGGAGGTATCTGCAACTTCACAGGACTGAGACCATTGTACAGTGCTTTAGGATCCTAAAAGGATCTCAGTGGTGTTTGCTTGCTCTGAAAATTGGTGGAGTGCTTACTCTTTGCATTCTGTAGTGCAGAATTAATTTTCCCAGAAATAAAAAATACTGAAACAAATGTGCACTTTCATAGCTTATATTCCAGCGTACTCAGTTTTTTAGAAATATAGATAGAAAATAATATGATCTGAATTTTTTACTTTCCTCACTAGGAGTGTGTTATATTCAATGCAGTCTTCTCTCAAATGACATTGTCAGGACAACACTCAGAATCTTATTCTCCTCTAACCTTTACCGTGCCTGTTTTGAGATTGAAGAGAAGACTACTACTTTGTAGTTGATGTCTGATACTTTTCAGTACTTAGTTAATGTAAATGAAGAATATGGGCTATTAAAATACTATAATTAAATTCAAGGTCTGTGTTGGAAGAACTGCAAGTGAGTGCACAGGATTTTCTGTCAGCTGAGAAGACGGGAAAGGTGAAAGGACTCATACTGACTCTTAAGGGAGATTCCAGTGGAAAACATAAAGGCTATGATTTCTACTCCAGATATTTTGCACCTTGGATTGGAGTTCTGGAAGACCCTGTTACAGGTGTGTGTTTGCATGGTGAAAGACTCTTATTCTTGTCCCAATTTAGTTGAAAAGTTCTTGTTAAACTTCATAAATCAGGTTTTGTACTTTGGATTCTCTCCTCTTAGAATGTGCTTATTGAGGTGAAAGCTTTTATGACCGACGCCAGACTCATTCAAAAAGAGTCGGCTTCCTGCTCTCATCAGGCCAGGTATTCCTGCCTCTTTTCCGGATCTTTTCCCTGTGAGGTTTCTAATTAGAGAAAAGCCAGAGACTAGTTAGGTAATGAGTGAATGTTGCAGAAGAAATACCCATTTCTGTCGGTGTCCCAAAATTTTTGGTGCTTGAGCTGAGATCTTGCCTAGTTTCACGACACTTCACTGTGGATATTCTCAGCCCTAGGAATAATATGAATTCAGCTAGTTAAATGTTTAGAGGCGAGAAGGCTAGTTTTCTGCTTTTTCCTATGCCTGTTCCTCCTCAGTAAGCTTGATAACAATTGCTGCAGAAAGGTGAAAGTAATGTTGTTTGCTTAGTTACCTGTTATCACAGGATAATCATTAGTTAGCTGAGAGTCTGGTCAAAACCTCTCATTAACTATTGTACTAAATAAGTGGAAAACTGACCAGACAACCCAAACTTTTTTAATTGGGATAGCGCGAGTAACTCATCACAACAGAAAGAAAGATTTACCAAAAAAAAAGAATGAGCCAGGTGTTTCAGTTATTTATTAAGCTTCCCCTCCTGCTTCCTCTTCAGAGCCGGAGGCCAGAGTCTAGTAGATGTATCTGGTCCCAGAGCTCATTCTTGATGATCTGTGGGAAGACTTCTATTGATAGGTAGAAAAGGCTATTGCTTATCTTCTATCTGTAAGGACCTTTCTTTCATGGCAAGACATGTTTTGAATATATTGCAGAATTATACTTTTAGTAGTGTTACGGCTTTGTATTATCTTTCTTGGTAACACTTTCTCAATACTGCTACGTGGCCTTGTGTCCTTGAGCACCGATAATTATAGTTACTTCGCAGTAGAGTTTCCAGCAGAGCTTCTTTGCCCCTAGCAGCCAATACAGACTGAAGCAGCATGTCTGCCTGTGGATCTGAGAAGTCATCCTAAGTTTTTAAGCCATCTGCCAATAAGAAAACAAGCTTGTTCCAAGTTGGTCTCTTATTTTCCAGAGGCTGTAGTGAGACCTTAAAGATCTCCCAGTGTCAAATCCTGATGCTTAGTGACATTCGGTCTTGGACATAAAGCAGAAATCTCTTGAAAGAAAACTGAATTTCTCATGTGAAAACTGTTAGAGGGAATTTTTTCCTTTCAGATGGCCTCTTAAGTTCACCTATTCCTATTTTTAAAAAAAAAAAAAATCAAAGGCCTGTTCAGATGTTTTTGTGGATAGCTGCTTATATTTCAGTGAATAACATCATATCTTGATGAGTAAAATTTTGATTTTTGACTTTAGTATTTTGAGATTCTGTTATTAGGAAGTTTCAATTTTCTTTAAAAAGAGAGAGTAGTTTGGCTGAACTGTTTTAATCTGTAGTATTCGTTATTCCTACCAACTGTGGCTTACCATGAAGTCCCAAAATTTCAATTGAAGTCACAGGATGAGAAATTAATACTGCTTGATCATGAATGAATGAAATTCTAAAGTTTTAAGTTCTGTCTGCTTTGCAAACTCTTAGGATTTTTACTTTACACATACTCACGTAGCACTTGAGCACTTGATTGGTTTAACAGCATTTCCATTTTGAATATGATTGTTCTATAAAATAATGATTCTAATTTAATTTTGTACTTTGTCTTTTGTTTTCTCTTAAGGATCTGCCCATGCTGTTTTAAGCAGCTACTGGTCAGAGCAACTGGGGAAAAAAGAAATGCTTGGTAAGAACTGTCTTGTTGCAAAGCTGCCTGTTTATGTGCAAGCTACCCACTATGAAAAGAAATGGTTTATATTATTACTGCAGTCCAAACTCTAATATCACACATCTTTCCTTGAGCTACTGTGTAAGCATTACAGACTGGGGATGCTGCTTATTCTCCCTGTCCATTTTCTTAATTTTAATAGGATAATATGTAATATTTTGTGTGTGAGGTAATCTGTAAGAAATTACTGTCTTCCCCTTGTACCAACGTGACAGACACATCCTGCAGGGAATTTGAAGTGTTGGTTTCTGGTTCTTAACTTTCCGCAGTTAGTTTTTGATCTCAAGCTTTGGATTTTACCTCTCATGACCCTTCATCGTAACTGAAGCTTGGTGAACCCCAGATGATGTTCATTTGTCTGTTCTGACTGAATTTTAGTTTGCTTCTTGTTCTCCATGGTTTGCATTTTGGGTATCAGGGAAAAGGTATCCTGTCAGTATTTTCATTCATAATGTGTGCTGTTCAGTGCAGTTTGGACAGTGGAATGTTAGCTGGCAGCACTTTCCTTCCCTTCATACATGTATAGAAGCGAGACTGAAAAATGGCACGTTTTCTGTCTGACTTAAGAATTTTTTGAGAACGACTCTAGGTTAATCTCTTCAGTGACTTCTTCAGGAAACCTTCTGATTTTAAAGTAAGTATTGTTTTTATAGCTAGATAGGAATATATTATCTATTTTAACATTCAGATTCTGCTTAAAAATGTGCTTTATACTACAGGAATTTCTTTTTGTTTGTTTCTAGTACACCTATATATTTAGGGATAAAGATCACTTTTCCTCAGGATGATGGTCATTTGCACTGTCTCAAGAAAGGATAAGAGCAAGAATGGGCAATTCAGTTTCAAGAAGATAGAGTGTATGACTGTGTTAGCATGAATTTGCCTTAAAGATACATGAGTGGAGATAGGATACATGGGCCTCTGCACATTTAATTTGCTTGTGACATTTTATTTGCAATCTTACTTATAAGTGTTTAGACCTTAAAGAAGAAATTTGGGATGACTGGATCTCTGAAGTCAAAGAACAGATTCATTATAGGTATTTTTGTGTCTTGAGGAAATCAGTGAGCTACGTTAATTGGGTCACACATTTCGTGTTAAGCAGGAAGCTGAAGAACTCGGTGGAAAAAGCCAAGAGAAACTGTTATGCTTGACAGCACTGCATAAATAAGCATGGAGTGTCTGTCATGCTTCTCTTGTTCCTAGCACTCTGCCAGGAAATGGAAGAAGAGCAGAAGCAGTACAAAATAACCTTTGTACTCCAGTCCCTCTCTGACTTCCTAAGGGGACAGGGGAGAGTTATCTTTCCTTTGTGCACCAGACATCAGTTAAGTATTTGGTAACATTCAGAACAGACGTGGGACCCTTGAACTAATCAAGTTCCTTATCCATAAAAGTAAATATTTTTCCAAACAAACAGCTACCATGAAAACATGCCTTCCTATATTTGCCCGAATTAATCTCAGAATGGTCTTTTGTTGAGAACGATAAACTCTGTAAAGGACACATTAGCCCTCCATAGCTCAGTATGCTAATCCACAGTGACTGAGACCCTGTCCGTCATGGACTGATGGTAAGATTTAACATTCTGTTCTGAAGATGTCATATTTGCATTTATATCACACAAATCTGTGATAATTTCTGTAAAGCTGGAAAAAAATCATACTTTCTGAACAGGAGGAACTTACAGAATGGTTGTGTCTCAAAGTTTAACATTTTCAGATGTTAATGTGGGATTTGAAGCTTTTCCGTCTTATTAGCGGACACAAATCACTACGCTAAGTAATCAACAGAAATTTTGTCTGTTTTTAGAAGAAACTTTTTACTTCCTGTACATTTTCATGTATTTTGTATGAACTGATTATGATTCCTCTTTTAGACAAACTAACTTGAGCAGCAGAGGCAATTTGTGCTGTAATCGGCTCCCCTAACGTATTTGGGGCCGGGGCTGGGGGGAGGGGTAAGTCCAAGTTTCCACATGGGATTTTTCATATTTCATGCATATGTGTCCTCAAATGTACTTTTGATGGACGTCACACAATACGAATTTAAAGAGGGCAAGTGCGTTTGACATCTGATCAGTTTTCTCCATTCTAAGAGACCTTTTACAATCCTACATTAGGAATACAAGCTTTCCAAACAGATTAGAGAGGAATTTCAGAATATTTTAAAGAGAAGAGGCTTCATCCAGGACACTTTTTAATTTCAGGGAAAGCTAGATGAATCTTTCTGTACCTCTTTACTTCAGAGAATTAATTTGTAGGGA